CACTTTGCCATGGACTTGAAGACCCCCTGTGTTTCAGGGGCTGCTCTACACCGGTGAGGGTATGCTCGCACAGCATACCCTAGATCTGCAGATTTGCAGTAGGGGCTGATCAAGATCTCAGCCCCCTCCCTCTTCTAGCTGGCTGCTGCAGCGAAGGCCAAGACCCTCCTGGTCTTGGTGTACCTTGTGCCCTTGGAGACACCAAGGGCCAGGTATCTTTTCTCTCTCTCTCTCTCTCTCTCTCTTTCTCTCTCTCTCTCCTCTTATTCATAACCCCCCACCCCACCTTTTCTCCCACCACCCATTCTATACTCTTTTTTCTTTATTTCTTTCTTGTCTCCCCTCCTTTTTTTCTCCTTCCTTCTTGATCTCTCTCCACCTTTCCCCAACCCACCTCATCCCCCCATCTCCCACTTCATCTTTTTCTCTCCCCCACCTATTTCCTTCTCTTCTCCTTCACTTTTTCATTCCCATTCCCCCCTCCACTTCGAATTTTTCTGTTTTTCCTTTTTTTTCTATCTTCCTTTTGATTTATCTTTTTCTTTTTCCAAAAATTTCGAATTATCTTCTCTCTCACCTTCTTTTCTCATTTTCTGATTCATTTCATTTATTATTCTATTTATTCTGAAAATTCGATTTTCTCTACGGCAACCCTAAATCTGATTAGTTGTTAGTTTTCTCATCTTCTTCCCCACCCTCTTTTCTCATTTTCTGATTTATTTAAATTTTTTTTTCTTCTTCATTCTGAAAATTCGATTTTTTTTGCGGCAACCTTCAATCTTGTTGGGTGTTAATCTTTACTAGTTTCGGCGCACGTTTTGACCCCGTGGGGGTAACGAAGTGCTGCTGAAATTTTCTATTTTTCTTCCACTTAGTCTTCTCGGCACACTTCGACCCCGTGGGGGTAACGAAATGCTGCCAAACTTTTTGAAAAATTAGATACTTTATTCCTCCCCACCTCCTCATCCACTTATTTACTTATTTATTTATTTATTTATTTATTTATTTATTTATTTATTTGTTTATTTATTTATTATTTATTTATTTATTTTCTGAAATTTCTTTTTTTTTATTTGCGGCATCTTGACACCTAGTGCGCTCACCTTGGTCTCTCCTTTCCCCTTGTCACATTCTTGACCCCGTGGGGGGTAGGGAAATGCTGCCCAAAAAGTTCAAAAAAAAAATAAATATTGTTTTCCCTTCACATCTTTTACTCATTTATTTAATTATTTTATTATTTATTGATTTTCTTATTTATTTTTATTTTCTCTCGAAATCTCGCTGTTTATTTATTTTTCTCTTGCCTTCCACCCCTATGCTTGCTATTTTACTTTCTTGATTAGGTCACCGGTACCCTACCCTAACCACTTAAACTTCGGTTAGGGTTTTCTTAGGGGTTTTGTAGGGGTTTGGGTTCTTCAACCCCCCCCTACTTCCCCGTCCTCTTCGGGCACCTTGGACCCGAACCAACCCTCCCCCTTTGACGGCGCCCGCGCTAGCCTTGCTAGCGCCGTTCGCCGCTTTCTATCGCGGACTTCCCCCTACGCCCTCCGCTCACGCGGACCTCTTTTGGCCCCTTCTAGTCCGGTCTGTCACCTCCCTCTGGCCGACGGTGTGTCACACGCCGCCGACACGGCGATGACCACGGCATCGGGCTCCACACCCGTGCCGTGCCGGCGAACCTGCGCCATCCGCCCCAGGGGGATCTGCACACCCTCCTCACCTCCCTCCTTTCGCCCATCCAGGCGCAACTTGCGACCCTTGCGCCCATCCAGGCGCAACTCGCGACCCTCGCGCCCTTACACGCGCAAGTGGCGACCCTTGCCGCCGGCGTGCGGCATTTCCAGAACGCTGGTCGTCCTTCTTCTCCTCACCCTATCTCCTCTCCTGGCTCCCAGTCCGGGTCCCCGTCCTCCGACAGAGTGGCCACGGTGGAGCTTCCTCCTCCGCTGCCCCCGACCCGGCCATCTTGGTGACCGTCCACGGCCCTAGCACGACGGCCGCCACGAGTCAGGTCCTCCCTCAGTCTACGGGCGCACCCGCCCAATCCCCGGTCACTATGGCCACGGTTCTACAACCCGCTACCATGGTTAAAGCTTTTCCGGGTGCCCCATTTCTCCCTCCTCTTCGCACGACCGCAGCGCCATCTGGCTCTCCCCCTTGTAGGATGCCTCGCGCCGCTCGTGCGTCTCCCCCTGCCAAACCTCGCTCGACCTACGTTCGAGGTCTCGAGGACGAGATCGCCTAGCTCCGGACCGACCTCACCCTCTCACGTCTTCAGCCACCCCCACCCTCACAGGTGGCCGCACCCCCTTCTTCCTCTATTCTTCCTTCCATGCAGGCTCGCTTCCCTCGCCCTGCACCCTACCCATCTCCATCCTACCTCCTCCCCATCCCCTCGGTTGCTGCGACCTCTTCTACCACAACTCCCGTGCAGCCTGCCGCTGTTTCCCCCGCCGCTCCACCATGCGGCCCGGGCGTACAGTCAGCTGCGCCTCCTCCTCCAGGACCTGCGCCGACTTATTCCGTCGTAACGCAGTCCCCTGCTTCCCGTTCCCCTCGCCGCCAAAACGGTGGCGCACCACTCATCTGCTTGTCGGACATTTCCTTGTATGACGGTACAGGCATACACGTGTCTAGGTGGCTGCAGTCTGCCACCCGCATGCTCCAGCTCATGGGCGCTACAACCGACACGTGGGTGGGTCACCTGTCCATGCGCCTGCGTGGTGGTCCTTTCGACGCATGGGAGGATTTCTATGCTTACTCCCTGCGTGAGGGTCGGACTCCGACCTTCATGGATTTCCAGGCGTTCCTCGAGGATCGCTTCGGAACCCGATATGATGTGACTGACTCCCTCGAGCGTGTCGTCACAATACGCTGGTCCGGCTCTCGTGGCGTTGCCGGCCTGGATTGCCACATCCAGGTTTTTCAGGACGCCCGCCTCGTTTGCGACGTGGCGTTCCTCCCCGAGGCTGCCCTTATCGATCGTTTCTTGGTCAGCCTCCCGCTCGAGTACCGCTCCGAGCTATGGCCGTACGAGTTCACATCGGCCCCGCAGGCTTACGAGGCCGCCAGGAACCATGAGCGGATGTGAACCCGTCTTCACCCCGCCTCCTCCTTCTTGCCTCAGCGCACGGGTTACGCCTCCTCCTCCTCTCACGACACTTCCCAGTGCCGTTCCCCTTTCCGCGGTCGCCCCCGCCGTTCCACGCAGCAGGGCCGCCACTTCTCGCGCCGCTTCAGTGAGCAGGACGTTGGTGCCCCGCTGTCACCAGAGGGTGCCATAGCGCCGACCTCGACCTCGACGATGCCGTCCACCACCACCTGGAGGACTCTACTCTCCCTATGGTTGAGCGCCTCCCGCTCATCCTCTCCACCCTTTCTCGGGCACGCTGCCGCCCTGGTCACACTGGCGCGTCGCCCCCCGAGGTCCCTCAGGAGGACCTCCCTCAGGGCTTTGTCCCCCCTCGCGGTGTCCTTTCCGCTGAGGAGCGCGCGACTATTTTGGGTCGGCGTGGGTGTTTGCGCTGCCGCTTGGACGTCCATACCTCCTCGCGGTACCCTTACACTGCCGCCCTTGACCGCCACTACGCCGACCTTTCCCGCCAGCGTCGTGCTTCATCCCCCCCCCGGCGCCTTGCATCCCCGCGGCGCTTCCTAGCCACGGTGCAGTGTACACCTGCGCCCTCCTCAGTAGTGGGCTTCCCGACATCTCCGTCGCGGCTCGCCCCTCTTGCTACTGGAGCTGAGGTATCGCAGGACTCGACAGAGTGTACTCAGCCCTTTGTCGCAGTACCGTCTGCGCCTCCGCAGACCACCGTCTCCCCTCCTTCCCCGCCGCGACTACCGACGCGTCGAGCCATTCGCTCAGCCCGTTGCAGCGAGCGGCTCGCTACTCGCAAGGATGTTGTGTCCTCTCTTCTGGACTTGAGCATGCTCCTGGCTCGTCTGGAGCGGCTCACCCTCCATGTTGTTGCACTGCGTCGCCTTCTCGCCATCCTCTCTGATCCTGATCGCACCCTCCCGATCATCCCAGTACGACTCGGGACCTCCACGAGGGTGTACTCAGCGTTGTGGGATTCCGGTCCTCAGGGCAACTTCATTCACCCAAGCGTGGTGAAAGAATCCCGCTTACCCACGACAGGGTCCCCGACTCCCATCTCCGTTTCCCATAGTCGTTCTCGTACGCTGGCATCCCACCGATGCGCGACGTCGAGCACTCCATCCAGCTTGTGCCTGACTATCGTGTTCACCACTAGGCACCCTACAGACTCTCGATCCCCGAGGCCACCGAACTCAAGCGTCAGCTTGAGGAGCTCCTAAGACTGGGTTTCATTAAACCCAACAACTCCCCGTGGGGTACACCCGTCGTCTTTGCTCGCAAAGCGGATGGAAGTCTTCGTCTCTGCATCAACTACCGCGGTCTCAACCGCTACATGGTTAAGAACAACTGCCCCATGCCTCGCTCCGATGAGATGTTCGACCGCCTAGCAGGCAACCGCTTCTTTACGAAGATTGATCTTCGTAGCGGTTACCATCAGATCCGCGTCGCTGCAGCCGACCAGCCGAAGACCGCGTTCCGATCGCTCTTGGGCCACTACGAGTTTACGGTGATGCCATTCGGCCTCGCCAACGCACCCGCTACCTTCCAGAGGGCGATGAGCGACATCTTCAGGGACATCCTAGAGCAATACGTTCTCGTCTACCTCGACAACATCCTGGTCTACAGTCGTACCCTTGAGGAGCACCTCAGACACCTCCGCGACGTCCTTGACCGCTTGCGCAGACATGGCTTCTACGCCAAGCTGAGCAAGTGCCGCTTTGCCCAGCACAAAGTGGATTTCTTAGGACACTGCATGTCTGACCAGGGTCTCCACATGGACGACGCGAAGATCACTGCTATTGCGGAGTGGCCCGCCCCCACATCCGCCAAGCAGCTTCGCAGCTTCCTAGGCCTGACCAGCTACTATAGTAACTCCATCCGGGGATACGCTAGGTATTCCTACGTCCTTACCTCCACCCTCCTCCGGAAGAACCCACCCTGGGCTTGGACACCCCTCCACGAGGWCGCCTTCCGCGCCCTCAAGAAGGCGGTGATATGCGCACCGGTTCTTCACCTACCCGATTTTTATGGCCCTTTTATCCTTACCACCGATGCGTCAGACTTTGCTGAAGCACCAGTGCTTTCTCAGGTCTTCCCCTCCTCTCCTGATTCCTCTCATCCTCGTATCCCTCGCTTCCAAGTTCCCACCACCTACCCCTACCACTGCTTCCCGACTGTCGCCTACTCGTCCAGCTACTGACGAGCCTTCGATTGACTATTCTCCTACCATCGTCGAGGACGGCACTGTCGAGTCTCGCTCAGGTGATTGTCCGATAGCCTTCTACTCCCGTCAGCTCCTGCCCGCCGAGATAAACTACACCGCTGATGAACGTGAGGTTCTCGCAGTAGTTTATGCCGCTCGGCACTGGCGTCACTACCTGCACGGGGCACCATTCACATTGCGCACGGACAACTCTGTTGTCCAGGCTTTTCTGACAAARCCGAAGCTCACTCCTCGACAGACTCGCTGGTGGCGCGACCTATCCGAGTTTAGTTTCACCACTGAGCACATCAAGGGTGAGACTAATCGGGTTGCAGATGCCTTATCCCGGCGCCCTTACCACGACCAGGAGCAGATCCAGCTCTCTTTCATCTCGGTCACCACTGTTTACCACTCGGTGATCGACGAGTTTCGCACTCAGTACCGCCACTGCCCCGATTATTGCAACATCCACGCGACCCTTCGGAGTGGCAAGACCGTCCCGAACTACTCTCTCGGGGACAACGGTCTTGTGTACTGGCACGGTTCACAGGGCACCAGAGCGCCCCGTATTTGCGTTCCCTCCACTGGACAGCTATGTGTCCGAGAAGTTGCAGAGTTTCATGATCAGGCAACCGCCGGTCATATGGGCTTCCACAAGAGGTTGGCTCGTGTGAGCCACCTGTACGTCTGGCCGAAGCGCAAGGACTTTGTGAAGGACTACGTCGCAGAGTGTCCCACCTGTCAGGAGGTGAACAGTGCGAACCACCTGCCTTATGGTTTGCTCCAGCCTCTTATTATCCCTGAGGGTCGTTGGCAGTCCATCTCGATGGACTTTATCGGTCCTCTTCGTCCTCCGACCCCTCGCGGTCATGATGCTATCCTGGTCGTAGTCGACCGTTTCACGAAGCGTGCACGCTTTGTTCCGTGCCGCTATGCCATCAGTGCACGTGAGGTCGCGGACATCGTGTTTGACCGAGTTGTGCATGACCACGACTTACCTCTGAGCATCATATCTGACCGTGACCCGCGCTTTACCTCCCGATTCTGGCGACGGCTCCACGAGGTGTACGGCACTCAGCTCCGCTTCTCCTCGTCTTACCATCCTCAGACTGATGGTCAGACCGAGATCACGAACAGGACTCTCGAAGATATTCTCCGAAAGATTGTTCGTGATGACCAGCAGTGGGATCTCCATCTTGCCCACGCGGAGATAGCCTACAACCACGCCGTCTTGCCAGCCACGGGGATGTCGCCTTACTATTGCGACCTCGGCTATCACCCTTGTGTTCCCGCGGACTTCCTTCGACCGTCACAAATGCACCCCGACACGAGTTGTCCCGCGCTGGATGATTGGGTTGCACATATGACGTCGATCATGAAGATCGCACATGAGCTCTTAGCCGCTTCCCAGACTCGCATGGCAGCACGTGCGAACCGATCGAGGATGGATCATCCATTCAAAGTCGGTGATGATGTGCTGATCGACGCCCACCGCTTACAGCTCGAAGCGGACACGCTTCGCAAGTTTCGGTGTCACTTCTTTGGACCATGCCGCATCCTCTAGACCGTCGGTTCTGATACAACATTTAGCCCGGTCAGCTTCCGTGTGAAGCTGCCAGACTACCTACGCCAGGCTCGTGTGCACGGTGTCTACCACGTCTCGTTACTGCGTCCTTACCGCAGACCCTCTGAGCATTTCGTCGGACGACCATACGAGGGCCCTCCACCCATCATGGTGGACGGCCACGAGGAGTTCCTCGTTTCAGACATCATTGGTCGCCGAGTCACCGACGACAACCCTCCCCACGTCGAGTATCTCGTACATTGGAAGGATTACCCTGATGAGGAGGCTACCTGGGAGCCCCTCGAGCACTTGCAGCACGCTCCTATGTTGGTGCGTGCCTATGATGACCGTTCCAGTCGTGCTGGGTTCACTGCTCCTCCTCAGCCCATTGACCCTCCTCCTTCTCCCCCGGCTGAGGACACAGCTGAAGTCGAGCCTGCTCCATCTGAGGCAGACCTTCAGCAGCAGTCGGATGCTTTTGAGCGTCCACAGCGCACTCGTCGTGGTCCTCCTCGATACGACGATTAACTCTGACTTACCTTCCCACGTCTGTGACTTCTCAATACTCCATCCACTCCAGTTTTGCCACTTCAGCTCGTCGACGTTGCGACTCTTCCTCGACGACATTCCAGACTTCTCATCGTGGACGTCATCGACAGCTTCATGGACTTCGTCACGATCAGCTCTGCCTACTTCAGATGTCATCACTCTCTTACCACTTTACCCTGTACAGTACCCGGCTTGTGTCGCATGATGGGCTCCTTTTAGCCGGGTTCCTCTGAGTTGGGCTCTCCCTTGGTATACGTATAGGCATCGGGACCGTAGCGTTGCCCTGGCTTCCCATCTTACGGATCTAGCTCCGACTTTCCCACCTTAGGAGTCGTTTGCATGATTTTCTTACCCATCACCTTCCTACCCTCTGCCGGCCCTCACGCCCTAGTTAGGCAGCCCCGCATGCTTCATCTAGGTGCGCCCAGTATACCAGGCTCCCTTGTTCCCTTGCATGGTCGACCCTCCATAGCGGTCACCCTTTAGTCGAGCATTACCCGCCCTGATGGTCTATCTGTTAGGGTCATTGGTTATGTTCGCTCCCAGTTCCCTACCCTCATTGAGCCTGATGACATGTGTCTCCCTGTTATCTATGTGTGGATGCCCTTAGGAGTTTTCGACCCCTAGGCTGCATTCGCCACCCTCAGAGACCATCCCACCCTTTGGTTTGCGACACACCCCTCCTGTGACATATGGTTGACTTGTTGTTGCTTGTTGCTCTCAGACTGAGGCTACTGCCTCTGAAATTTATAAGATTTAGTTGTTCTGCTTTTGTTGTTCTGAGGAATTATACACTAGTCAGCTATTTCCAAACTGAGTCCAGTGCATACAACATTCTAGGATCTAGTTATCATTACTTTCTGCTTTCCTAGGACATGTATGCTAGTTAGTTGCTTCTTCTTTCCTAGGACATGTATGCTAGTTAGTTGCTTCTACTTTTACTTAGGCTGTTAGCCGTGACATTGCTGTTTTGTGACACTTTATATCCTAGGTTGCATCGCATGGACTCAGCGTGGAGCTTGCTCCACATCCTAGACTACTCAGGTTTTTCTTTTTCTTTGGTAGAGTTCCGCTTCTTGACAGAAGTGTGTTTGCATCTAGGCGATCCATCACAGGTCGAGGATCGTGTAGAGGACCTCTGGTTGGTTGGCCTGTGAGACCAGCCCCTTGGGCTGTTCTCACAGGCCTATGTTCTATTCGGGGGCAGTCCAGTCCAGGCCAGGCCGGTACCTTTGTCGGTGTTAGCCAGTCCAGTCCAGTCCCATCAGTCCCCTGGGGTATACCCCAGCAGTTGTCTGTTTTCGGGCTCATTCTTCACTTGCACATTTTGGAGTACGTGCGTTGGAGTCTTGTGTGGGGAGCTGCGTTGTGCCATCTCGCTCCCCCCCTTCTTCCTCCATCTCCATCTCTGTCACTAGCGGAGCACCACACCTCGTGGGTCCGCTACACCATCCCCCAACTAAAGCTGCCCGATGCCAATCGCATCTAATGAAGGATCCCCCAACCGGTACCCCTCAGGCGACCTGATTCAACCCTCTCTCCGTCCTCACAAAGAGTCATCTCGTGCCCTTTACCCGCCACCTTGAACAGATCCCCAAAACCCAACAGAACCTCCACTCACCTGTCCCCCCTTCGCCTCCCCAACCCTGTCCTAGTGAAGAGTTCGAGGGACCATCTCCTCAGCAAGAGCCAGACACAATCCTCACCCTGCAATCTCCTGCCCCCTCGGAAATTCCAGTCTCCGTCATCGACGGAGTTGGTCAGCACTGCCTGAGGCCAATCGAGCCAGAGTAAACCCTCATCAGCCGGTACCCATCCGACAACCAAAGCTGCCCGACGCCAATCGCATCCGATGAAAGTTCCCCTAGCCGGTACCCCTCAGACAGCCCCGATACAACCCTCTCTCTCCGTCCTCGCAAAGAGTCATCTCGTGCCCTTGCCCTCCATCTTAGACGGATCCACCAAAACTCAACAGAACCACTCCATACGAATTTACAAAATTTGAAGCGAATTTAAGCCAGATATTTGGGACCACATGCAAATTACCATTCGACCAATACTATGAAGTTCTCAGTTGATTTATTCGACTAAAATTGAAATCCCTAATCCAGAAGTCCGTTGAGATACAAAGGAAACACAAAGGAAACACAATTAGAAAAATAATCTGATATCCACCCGAACTTTTGACTCTGATTTCCAGAACCAGGGTTCAGGCCATAGGAAACACAACTAGGAAAATAATCTGATGTCCACCCGAACTTTAACTCTGATTTCCAGAACCAGGGTTCAGGAAATCGTTAAGACTGTAAGTCAGAAAATTACTAATCGAGAAAACTTGTCGTATGAGCATCTAGGACTATGACGTAGAAAAGGTACACAGATAGCACAACTATTGGATTATCATTTTTATTGAAAATAACAGCTCTGTAAAAGATAGAAAGTAGCAAAAAAACACAGAAAATCGCTTCAAGCAAGGAAATGGTCAACAAAACCTGTTGATCATCTTAGAAAGAGCAAGATCATGTCAGATGACCAATCTAAAAAACAAATCAAGAATCGTGCAAGAAATCATTGGTTATTATTAGTAGGAGATTAGTGGGAGATCTCTTCAAAATCAACAAATCCTATCCCTTCTTCCTCAAACCGCCGGTTATCTCTCTTACCTCTCACCCTTCAAACCCTACCCCTGCACCTTTGGGGGAGGAAGAATTCCCTTCCTCCCACTGCTAGCTTCTAGGCTTGGAGCAAACACCAGCACCAAAGGCATACGCGGCCGTCCTCGCTTTCCGCAAGAATCGAAAACAGTGTGGCACCCCCTCGCCAAACCCGCTGACGAGTCGCCACAGGGAGTTCAACACCACCATAACTGTACGCTCACCACACACTTAGCTATGGTTGAGGAAGAGGGAAGGGTATCACGCCCCACGTCATCTCTAGGGCCGCTCCTCCCACGTCGTTATTTCGTCACCAGCATTCATTCCCATACACAGCGATGCCGCGATTCGCCCCTCAATCCGCCAAGCAAAACCCCTCCGTCAACGTGGACGACCAATCCCCATCTTTAATCCGTCGAACAGCGATGCCGTAATCCCACCCACGACGCTCCCTCCGATCAGCTGTGGTCCATAGCACCACGCTCATCGACTTCGTTATTAGGCGCCACACTCAGACGGAGGCAGGCTGTGCAGCTTCATACACCTCAACTCTCAATGTCCTTTGAAGAAGCACAAAGTGCAAAAGCCTGAAACGGTTGACCTGATGACACACATGCAGCTTCCAGCTTCGCAAGCTCGAGAGCTTACTGACTCTTGGCCTCCGCTTGCGCATGGAATTTGACCGTAAAAGCGGTCAGATTCAGGCGGGAAAGTCGTGACGGGAGTAATGCCGTCGGCCTGCGAATCGCTGCGTCTTGTCGTGCACCCACTGCCTGGCGATCCGAGCAACAATGCGGTCACTTTCCCGCCATTTCTCCACCTTCTGACGTAGACTTTCCGCGCACCGTGCCATTTTCCCGCCTTCCCCCCAATGGGTCTGGCTCAGCTGGTATACCCGTGAATTGTTAAAATTCAGCCCCGAGTTCGAATTTTTGAGTCGACCAATATCGGAAGCCATAAATAGGGGATAATGGTACAAAGAACCCACACCAAAACCTCTTCGGTTTTGGCCGCCCAAAGTTCGTCCGTTTGGTACTATCGGCCCAAATGTCTTCAGCTCTCGCCGTGGCCACAGCTCCCTTGGCCTGTTTTTACCGTGGCGCTGATTATGCGCCAGATTCATGATCTGGTAGGTCCCTTGGGGCGACGCGTGGGCCTGTAGTACCCCACATGGAAGACGTTGGGCGGGTAGTACCAAACTCCCAAACTTTTGGCGGCCAAAACCGAAAAGGTTTTGGGCACGAATGGTTAACAGGTACCCTCCTCACTTTTCACCCCTAGGGTATCCTTCACCACCCTGATCATGTTTTTTTTTTTTTGGGTCAAGGTCTGTAGTTGCCCTATTTCGTTTCTGGTCAAGGTCTGTATGTGCCAAGTTTGGTGTTTGTTGGGTTCCTGGAGATGGTTGTTTTGGAAGTGCTGAAAATAGTGAAAATCGACAAATTGAAATGTTGGTGAAATTTCATGAAAGTGCACTTTTGGCTTGCTGTTTTATAAGTTTTTTTTTTTTTTTTTTTCGTTTTTCTTTTCACAATATGTTAGTAAGAAGTGCACTCTACAAATTGGTGTAAAGTATGGTTAAAATTACACCTTGGTTTTCTTATAAATGAGGGCGCAAATTGGGGGTTCGGTTAACCTTCTCTCACTTTGGGGTGGGTGCTTCCTACCAATTATAACCATAAATAGGGCTGTTGACCAAGCAGCTTCAGAGCTGACTCTCACTTGCTACATGTATCCAACATCTACTCCGACCAAACCGGACGTATCTCGGCAAAAATAATGCTCAGTCAGAGATGTCCTAGGTTGAGTATGGCCTCAGAGGGCTGGTGACGACCAATCGGTCTGGCTTGGTTGGTA